TTTTCACACTTTGAACATGCAAACACAGCAAAATGAAGCAAGAAAAGAATTACAGGACTTAGCTTCACATATTCTCAGCATATTTTTCCCCATGAAACTAAAATAATTTTTTAAACATTGGATTTACTTGGTTCGTTATTAGACTTCAAAGTGTTAAAATCCTAGAGCAGCTGGATATGCACAGAAAATGTTTAGGTACAGAAGAGGTAAGACAGAACTTTCTAGAGTTAGGACATCTGACCACTCTTACTTAAAAGGTAACTTATTAATAGTTTTTAAAACCTGGGAACAGAATTCATTTCATATAGTGTACCTAGCTATAAAGTATAAGCACAACATGGATGATAAAGATCACAGCATGCAATCTTGACAAGCCAATTTGGAAACCAATGTACCATGCAAGAGCCACATTTCCAATGTATACCAGTTTATGATCAGAGTATAATGCAGAATGCATTTATTTCTGGGTGGGGAAAGACTTTTTGCAAATCAAATGCCAATGCATTTTTAGGTATGTGGGTATTGTTTTTGATGTGAATTCATATCACTAATATTACAATGTGCCGTGAATATAACTGTCTATATATGTGTATCAATACAGAATTGGTCAAGGTTATTGCCAAAAGGATAATAAAAAGAGATGGATACAGGACAAGAGAACCCAATTAGTCTCAGATTATAATGCCTCTCTGGAACATGTTTAGAATCATTTACCAACCCACATTTTTCTAGTGTAAGTGTATGACAAAAACAAACACTGGCCCATGCGCAGGATATAATTTCTTCATCCTCCTCTGTGTAAAAGGAACATTTATCATTCACCCCTGTTGTAAAAAGTGAAACAATGCACCTACTTCTACTGTCTGAAGTGGGATTGTGCCCTCCAGGTCCTTGGAAAATGTGCAATAGGCTTTGCTGCAGAATACTACACATATAAATGTTAGTCTATCACTTTATAAGGAGATGCTGCAGCTCAGCAATAGAACTTTGCATACAAAAGATCCCAGGTTCCATCCTCAGGCAGGACCAGGAAAGGTTCATGTCTGAAATCTTAGAGAGATGTAACTGATTAGCAGCCAATATTAAACTGGATTTATCGATGGTCTGATTCAGAATAAGGTTGCTTCCTATGTTCACACTAATGGACGCTAAAGTGGCTGTTCTTGTTTTAAAAAACTTCAAAAGGATATTGCACCTGTAGCTTGATTTGGAAAAAAATATTTTTAATCACAGTAGGTGTAGTATTTGCTTAACAAAGTAAGGATGTGTACTACGCTGCTATCAACTGTTTTGTAGATGGCCACTGCTAATAATGTACTTTGGCACTGTCTATACATTCTGCATTTCCTCTGACATCACCATTTACAATCCCACTTGCATTTATATTTAACGCTGATTGTTGGGACTGCACTCCACAAAAACTGAACCCACAATAAATGTGTTCTTGTCTTTATGGTGCCACACGATTGAGTTTATTGCAATAAACTAACACCAACACAGCTCTATGAATGGAAACTGTTCAGTGTGAAAAGTAAAGCAAAAATTATCATTTTAAAATTATTTCATCACTTCAGACACACGTACCAATTTTAAAAAACAAACAAACCACACAATAAAAACTTCAAATTTGCATACATTCTTGTAGAGAAATCCCTCCACAGGCTTCAAGCCAGAAGAACTTCTGTGCCACTTTGGAAAACGTAACAAAACTTTCTCACTAACTTCAGCAGTGCAAAAGAACAACAATATAGGTTGCAAACCCAGGTTCTCAACTTTGTTCTTGCAGGACTACTCAAGAATCAAAGTAAATATGCATATTTACCAGATCAGGAGCTCGGATGTCAGCACTATGAAGAGCTTCCTTCTGAGGATTTGATAACCACATGAACTTCAGCAGAACACAAAGGGTTAAAGAAACCACACCTCCATCGGTAATAATATTCTAGCCTTCATTTCTCTGTGGCATGGCATTCTTGGTGCTAACAAAGATAAAAATTGAACCGTTTCTCCACCGTGAATGCCTATTGTGTCTTAAGCCCTGCTTGTGGCCTCTACACAGATGATTCCTAAAGCAGGGAGAGGGGGAAAGGCGAGCGCTAAAGAAAAAAGCCCATGCTCAAGGAACAGACTTTATTCAGTACTAAAGGAAGCCAAGTAGCAGTGATGTCACCTAAACCAAGGATAAGGAGGGAAATTCAAGATCTTGTTGTCATGCTTCATTTAGAGTCAAGCCCTAGCACTGCCATTCTCCATGAGGACAAGAGTTTTACATTTCATAAAGTCTGAACATTTTGATGTATTTCATCTCAATACTCCAAACGACTTAAGTTAAAAGTATTTTTTTTTAAATATTAGGTTCACTTTATTTGCAAAGAGGCTTTGGTGACTGTGAAGCAAGACTGACAGGAGTGTTTTTCCATTCAAAAGGAGGAGATTTGGGACTGAAGAAACATACCCAAAAAAAAAAAAGTGTCCTTCTGGAAGACAGTACTGAGAGCAGGAAATATTAAGCTGGTTCTCAGAAATTCTAAGCAAATGAGTGAAAATAATTATTCATAATCAAAATAATCAAACATTCAAAATCTTTCTGAAAAGGCTGAATTCAGAGTGCACATGATGATACTATAGTTTTAAAAATAATTTAACAAAATATTATTGATAGAGCCCAACCAAAAGTTCAGCACTTTGAAATTCCACTTATCAACTGCCTATTTATTCTGAAACTAACTTTCAGGATCAAGTACCATAACAAGGTGGTTTACAGTAGACAGCAACAAGATAAAACCACAAATAACATGCAACTATCAACACCTGTTCAGCTAAAAATAATAGCAAAAACATTAAAACAGCAGGAGGAGACAAAGCAGTTACATAACTGCAAAACAGTCAGAAGCCACTGGAATAAAGAGGCCTCTGGAGGCTGCTTGAAAGTTGACAAAAAGGGGTCCAAATGTACCTCCCTGCTGAGGGCATTCCAGGCCCTACTTCTAACACTTGCCACACTAAGAGTTCTTGTTGATGAACCAGAAACCAAAGCCTTCATCAGATGCCAAACATATACCTCAGACATTCACAAAGAATAGAATTACCAATTGCTACTACCCATTATACCAACAGACTTTCTCCAGGATCAGAGAAATGCCTCTGAATACTGGTTCATGTCCTGCTTTGACGCTTCCTGAAAGCACTCTGCTGACCACTTGGCCCTGCAAAGATCTATACAGGCTGACAGACTGACCCAGCAAGGTTCTTATGTCCTTATTATACAGTGTTGTTGTTATGTGCCTTCAAGTCATTTCTGACTTATGGTGACCCTATCACAGGGTTTTCTTGGCAAGACTGGTCCAGAGGTGGTTTGTCATTGCCTTCCCTTGAGGCTGAGAGCATGAGACTTGCCCAAGGCCACCTAGTGGGTTTCATGGCCAAGCTGGAAATCGAATGCTAATCTCCAAAACTGTAGTCCAACACTCAAACCACTATGCCACGCTGGCATATTACACAATACTGGAAATCAAATGCACAGGACAGGTGTGATCCTATAGCAAAACCATCTCTCAAAATTTCTGCCCCTGTCTTACTGCTCCTAACGGATTATACCTGAAACTAGAAGTGGACAGGAGAAAGCAGCAACAGGTTAGGGGAGGCATCCCTTTTCCAGCAGAGACAACCGGCACAAGGTAGATGCATGTTATCACTAAATCAACAAGGAAGAACTTCTTGACAGTAAGAGATATTCAACAGTGGAAGACAATGCCTTAGAGGTCTGTTGCATGGATTACCATATCTGCCTGAACATTTGAGAATGTGCTATATTACTGCATTTAGCTATGTACTATGTATCACTGCATTTAGCTATGTACTATGTATCACTGCATTTAGCTATGTACTATAACCAAGACTGTTTTTATAAAGCCTTATAAAGGCTGCAATGCAGTACATACTACTAACAGGTAAGCCTCAGCAATGAGCACTGAAAGCCTTGCAAGCATGCATAAGGCAACTCTGAATGTAAGGGTTTTCAATACGCTGGTGTGTCTGTCCAATTCTGTACCCCTTTCCTTAGAAAGGAAGCCCCACCAAGTTCAATGTAGCTTCCTCTGTCGACTTCCTCCCTTCTCTCACCTTTTGGCATGTTCTAGCCTGGAGTGTCAGGCTAAAGCCTGGAAGCCCTGGGTGCAAGCATAACAGCCTCGGTTACATCAATGAAATGCACACTTACTTTCTCTTTTTGGTTTGTTCAACCTACCTCACAAAATTGTAGCAAGGATGAAATTGAGAGGAGGTGAGAAGAAACTTGCACACGTCACCATGAACTCCCTGGAAGTGAAAGGAGGGGAAAAAAGAGAAAGGAAAAGGTGATTACAGTTAGAAGCAGTATTTGTCTGCAGGACTTAGTGCAGTGATTCCCAAACTCTGGTCTTCCAGGTGTTTTGGACTCCAGCTCCCAGAATCCCAGACCATTGACCAAGATGACTGTGAAGGTTCTGAAGTCCAAAACACCTGGAGAACCCAACTTTGGGAATGAGGGGGACTCTGAGATGGAGCATTGGCTGCAAAAAATAATCAATCAAGGGTAGTTAACAACAATAGCCAAATTAATGTTTTAATTCTATTTTTAAAAATTATTCTAAGTTGTCTTGAGAGAGCCAGCATTGCATAGTGGTTTGTGTGTTGGTCTACAACTCTGGAGGCCAGGATTTGAATCCAGGACTTGGCCATGGAAATCCACTGGGTGACCTTGGACAAGTCAAATGCTCTCATTCTCTGGAAAAGGCAATGGCAAACAATCCCAGAACAAATTTTGCCAAGAAAACCCTATGAAAAGTTCATGGCCTTTGTTGTTGTTACTGTGTGCCTTCAGGTAATTTCTGACTTATGGTGACCCTAAGATGACCCTAAAACAGGCTTTTCTTGGCAAGATTGGTTCAGAGGAAGTTTGCCATTGCCTTCCTCTGAAGCTGAGAGCATGTGACTTGCCTAAGGTCACCCAGTGGGTTTTGTGGTTGAGCTGGGAATCGAACTCAGGGTCTCTAGAGTCCTAGTCCAACACTCAACCACTATGCCATGCTGGCTCTCAGGGTCACCACAAACTAGGAATGAATTGAAGGCACACACACCAAAACAATGCATGTTTTGGTTCTATTGTTTTACAATTCTTGTAAGCCACATTGAGTCCCATTCTGAGAGAAAGGCAGGATATAAATGCAATAAACAAATTAATCAATGTAGGTTTTAAGGGGGACCAGGAGGCAGGAGTTCTGTTTGCCCTCCCCACCCCCATTATTATTGTTATTCTTTATTTGCATCTCACCCTCCTCCCAATACTCAATGTGACTAACAAAAATTTAAAACAGTACAAGAACAATACAAGCATCCAGAAAGGGGTCAAGAAAATCCTAAAACCTACAGGAGTTTACAACTCATTTCAGGAAAAGAAGGAGGAGGAAGAGAAGGAGAAGAGGAAGAAAAGAAGGAGGAAAAGGAGGAAGAGGAAGAGGGAGAGAAAGAGAAGAAGGGGAAGAGGAAGGAAGAAGAGGAGGAGGAAAAGGAAGAGGAGGAAGAGGAAGAAGAGGAAAAGGAGGAGGGAAGAGGAGGAGAAAGAGGAGGAGGAAGAAGAAAAGAAGAGTAAACAAAGGGGAGGGAGAGGAAGAGAAAAAGAAGGGGAAGAAAAAGGAAGGGGAGGAAGAGAAGAGGAAGAAGAGAAGGAAGAAGAGGAAAAGGCGGTGAGTAAAGGAAGAGAAAGAAGAGGAAGAGAAGGAGAAAGAGGAGGAAAGGGAGAAGAATAAAGGAAGAGAAGGAAGAAGAACAGGAAGAAGAAAAAGAGGAGGAAGAAGACGAAAAGGAGAAGAAAAGGAAGGCAGAGGTGGATCAAAAGGAAGAATAAGAAGAGAAGGAGGAAAAGGAGAAGAGTAAAGGAAGAGGAGACAGAAGAGGAGGAAAAAGAGGAGGAAGAAGAGGAGGGTCCTTCCCCAGGGAGACCCCCTTAAGGACTCTAAGGGGGGGCGGTGTCCCATTCCTGCCCCCCAGAGCCCCTTCCTCCGCATTCCTCTCCTGCACAGAAAGGGGCTTTTGGGGTTTTTAGAGGGGGGTGCTATGAAGAAGAGGAGGAGGAGGAGGGGTTTCCATGGCAACCGTGGGTGCTCCCTGAGGCGGGGGGAGGCTCACCGGGAAGGGAGGCTCAGGGCCGGCCAGGAAGGAGCGCCTCTCCTCAGGAGAACAACGCCAGCCTCGCCACTGCCGCCGTTCGCTTCAGGAGCGCTTCTGCTCGGCTGGGAGCTTCCCTTTCATTCGGAGGGGCAGCACAGAGAGAGACAGAGGGAGAGAAGGGACGCTGCGCCGCGCAGCCTGACGCAAACACGTCCGCCAGCGTCGCCCGCGCAAGACGGCGGCGGCGTCCTTACGTCACGCGCGTACGCCGCGCTCGAGACGGTCGGTGTGGCGCGCATGCGCCGAGACCAGCCAACTCAATAAGCGATAGGCACAAATTAAGAGGGAGGGAGTGCGCACGCGCGACCGTTGGGAAAAAAAGGATGAGCGAGGAGGCCTGTCTGCGCCTGCGTGGAAAGAAAGGCGCAGCCCGCACATGCGCGCGCTCTGTTTCTTCCCCCCCCGGCACTCTTACCATTGGTTGAGGCAGTCTGCGCACGCGCAAGAAGGGAAGGAAGCGGGTTTTTTTAAAAAAAAAAACGGTTTTTAAGACTACTGAGCATGCGCAAAAAGAATTTTTAAAAATTGTATTGTTCGAGGAGGAGGAGGCGCCTCAAACGGTCGTTTGGGCTTTAAGGTTGCCTTTTTAGAAAAAAGTTTAAAAGGATTTTAGCCCTTTTGTTTCTTTCTTGGAAATTTTTATACCTCAGGACCTCTTTATAAATGTATTTTTATGTGTTTTCTCTGCATTGCATATATATATATATATATATATATATATATATATATACATATATTAAAAAAAATATTGATAAAATTGAACTGAGCTGTCCCTCTGTTAGAAGAAAAGGAGAAACATGGAAGTCCAGCTGTAAAATAATTACAAACAATACATAACAAATATATATAATAAATATATACATAAATACATAAAAATACATAAGTACTCAGGGATACATGCTTGCCAGTTTTATGAGATTTATTTCATCTCTCTCTCTCACACACACACACATATATTAAAATACTAATAAAATTGGACTGAAATTGTCCCCCTGTTAGGATCATTGAGGAAAGGAGAAACATGGAAGTCCAGCTGTAAAATAATTACAAACCACACATAATAAATAGATATAAATATAATAAAAACATGAATAGATATATACATAAAAATACACAAATACTCAGGGATACACGCTTGCCATTTTATGTGGTTTATACGAAAACAAAATACTAATAAAATTGGACTGAACTGTCCCTCTGTTAGGATAAGTGAGGAAAGGAGAAACATGGAAGTCCAGTTGCAAAATAATAATAAATAATACAGGTTAAATACATATAAATATAATAA